GTCACTGTCCTCAGTCTGCCCCTCCGACCGGGAGGTGAGCTGGGGCTTGGCACCCTCCTGCCGCCACTCGCTGGGGGCCCGGCGTGGCGCCCGCTTGCCGCGGACATCCGTGGGACGCACCGCCGCCAGAATGTATGCGCAAAATCGCTTCGCCGCCTGCCTTTGGGCTGGGAGCTGCCTCTGACTTGGAGCCCCCCCCATCTCCGGCTTTGCTTGCAAATTGGTTGGGGAGGGTCTTCCCCTTCTTGCCACCCCCACCCCCCCGTTTATTTTCTTTGCACCAAACCTTGGGGAGGGATGTGAATTGAAATAATCCTAAGACCTTTTGTGTTTTTTTTTGTTTGTGTTAATCAAGGTACGGGAAAAGTTTACAAAACAGGCTGATTGTTTTTCGTGTGTGGGGGGGTGTCCCTATCCCGGGAAGGGGGTACTCCCCCCCCAGCCCTGGAAGACGGTTGTTGGGAGGGAGGGAGGGTCCCTTCCCCTTTTGTCATAGAAACCTCTCGTGTGTCCTTCTCTTTTTCAGCCTCTATGAATCGCGTCGGGATTTTTCTCCCGCGAACCGAACAAAAAAATAGGAAACTTGTGTGTGCAATCCTGCCTTACTAGTTTTCGAGGAAAAATAATAGGGGATGGGGGGGGGGGAAGAGCGTGAAGTTTGTTTTCAGTATTATATAGCTTTTTTAAAATATATATTAAAAAAATCTAGCAATAAGGAGGGAAAGTTTCAACGAGAATTGTTGTAGCACATGCAAAAAGCTGGCGATGGAGTTGCAAGGATGGGGAGGAGGGAGGAAAAGGGTGGGGGCTCCCGCCCACGTCCAGTGGGAAGGGGGGGAGGGGGAGCTTATGTGGCTGCTGGAACAGGGAGCCCCGCTTTCACACACACACACACACACACAATCTTGACTTTCGGCTCCCATGCTCCACAGCCAGCAGCGTCCGAGTCGGGGCCAGTCTGAGTATTAGTACTACTGCTGCCAGTTTCTTTCAGACAATGCGTAAGAGTTTATTTTTTTTCTTCCTGTAGCAATGTTTTGTTTTTCCTCTGTTGAAATTCGTTTTTTTTTGGGGGGGGGNAATTTGTTTTTTTTTGGGGGGGGGGGGGCAACCAGTTTTGGAATGTGACTATGAATGTATACATGTGTCTGTCTCGGTCCCTTTTCGCAACCATTGGGAGGGTTGTGGGGGGGGCTTCAGGGTGGGGGTGGGGGTGGGTGGGAGAAGTGTTTTAATTTTGAGCTCGGTGTACGCCAGAACAAATAATAGCTCCCGTGCATGTCCAGTTGGAAACAGCTACAGCAAGTGAAGAAGGCTAATTCAAACGCTATGCAGCCGTCCGTGCGCTCTCCGGCTCATCCCTCTCAAGGGGGGGGGGCTCTTCCTGGGGGTTCCTCAGAGGGGAAAAAAACCTCGCTGCAGCCCCCCCCCCTCCTCTCCCCAGGCTCCTGGAGAAGTGACGGGCTCCCCCACTCTTTTTTGCTCGTTCCAAAACTTCCTGACAACTTTTTGTGTTTTTTTTTCTGATGCCTTAAAACTGTACCCACAAACTTCTTTGGAGGGGCAGACTGGGGGGGGGGTTCCGCCTGAGGAGGCCACTTGGCGAGGAAGACCAGGGAAGCTGGACTGAGGCCAGCCGGCGAGATACCCCTGGAGCCGGGAAGGAGGCCGGGGAGCCTCGACTGGACGCCTGCCCACATCGACGGCGGCAGCAACGGGAGCCTGGCCCTTGCCCTCCCTGGCGCCCCACGCGAGGAGGGCCCCGCCGGCTCGGCCGCCCACTCTGGCCACCATCTACCTCCCCGCTGCGGCCGCCGTCCCCCCAAAGGCAGGCGAGGCCCGGACACTGTCGCGGCCTTTCCTTCCCGAGTGTTATGACAAACTGTGATGGAGGCCCGAGGCCCGGGGGGGTCTCTTAGCCCCCACTGAGAGTGGAAAGATGTTTACAGACTTCACCTTTTCCCGGCGCAAACGGCAGGGCCCGGGAGAGGGGCCCCACCTCCCCCCCGCCTCGGGTGCCGAATGTTTCCCCATGGACCACCTGCCTGAAAGACTTGAGGGGGGCGCCCCCCATCTCCGTCCAGCTGCCCACGGGACTTAGCTCTTCTGCAGGAAGACGAAGCCGCAGCCGGACCGGCCAAATTGGACAGCGAGGGGCAGACGAGGGGTCCTGTCGCGGCCCTTCCTCCTGGGCGTGGGGGGCACCCACTCGCCCACCTGCCTGCCGAGGAGGGTCCAGCTGGAGCCAGTCTGCTCCTGCGCCTTAAACTGGGGACGGTGTGTGTGTGTGTGTCTCTGCTGGTTGCGCGCAAGACGGCTTTGCTCTCTTAAGCTGCATAGAGACTGTTTGGCTTTCGCTGGGGGGCAGACCCTCCGAAGGGGGCGCGAGGCTGAGCCCCCTCCCCTTCTGTACATATCTTCCCACTTGCTGCGTGTTTTGTAAATGGTTTTTCGTTCCCTCCCTCTGCTCTGCCTGTCTGCAAGGAAATAAAAGCTTAGATGTTGTGGAATGACCTGGACTTTTTCACTCCCCTCCTTCCTCCCTCCCCCCAAAAGATAAAGGTGACCCTCGACTCAAAACCGTTTACTGATCGTTCGATGTTACGACGGCACTGAAAAATGTGACTAATGACCATTTTGGACACAACTCTTGCGGCATCCCTGCTATCACATAACCAAAGTTGGGAACGCTTGGCAACGGGCTCCTAGTTAACGACGGTCGCAGCGTCCCAGAGGGGCCACGTGATCCTCTTTTGCGACCTTCTGACCGGGAAAGTCGAAGGGATTCGCTTAAAGGCCGTATTACTAATTTAACTGCTGCGATTCACTTAACAACTATGGTAAGAAAGGTCATAAAATGGGGCAAAACTCAATTTCTCACTTAACGTGAACTTTGGGCTTAGTCCTGGTTGTAAGTTGAGGACTGGCTGCACCTGTGGGACGGCTTTTTACTGATGGCCAGGCTGGGCCAGGCCAAGGGCAGCTCAAGAGCTGAAGAAGCACAGAGCGCCCCCTTGTGGCCAGTCTTTGAGGAGCGGGGTCAACTGCTGCGGTATCAAAATCACCCCCTCCCCCCCAAGACTGGCGCTAACCCTTAGGCCTGCCTCTTTTCTGGCCAATTGAGCGGGAGGGAAAATCAGGCGCAAATAGCAACAGCACTTTAGACTCATAGTACGGCTTCACGGCCCCCTCTAAGCGGTCTGCAGAGTCAGCATATGGAGCCCAATGTCCCAGGTCCTCATTTTACGGACAGAAGGGGCAGAGTCAACCTTGAGCCGGTCAGGATCGAACTGCTGGCATCTGGAAAGTCAGCAGAAGTAGACTGCAGTACTGCCCTCTAGCCACCAGGGATGGCCAGCTAATTAAAGGAAACAAAGAGGGAGGGGTTTCTGAGCTGGGCCCCCGCCTCAGGAATATTGGACCCAATCGCCTTCCTGGCACAAACTAGGCAGGACGCCCCAAGTCATCCCGTAATCGTAGGAAATGCCTGTAGCTCAAGGCTGAACCACTGGATTGGGGTGCTCCCATTTGCAGGTTAGAGCAGACCCAAAGGAGGGTGGGCCCTGAGGGAATTCTGCAGGACCCCCCCTTCCCCCCCAAAAGAACCCAACACAGGCTGGCCCATTCTGTGTTCTGGACCCGCATCTGCCCAGGAGGCCAGGATCCAAACCCCACCCACCCACCCCACCCCATTGCTCTAGGGCAGGGTCTCCAAACTTGGCCCCTTTAAGACTTGTGGACTTCAACTCCCAGAATTCCTCAGCCATGCCTGTTTTTCTCCTACCGAGAGCGTAGAGATTGCAGAGGAAGGGATTACCGGTACAAGAGAGTAAACGGGCCATAATGGATATACCCAGGGGTAGGCAACCTTGCCTCTTTTATGACTTGTGGACTTCAACTCCCACAATTCCTCAGCTAGCCATGCCTGTTTTTCTCCTACTGCCTAGAGCGCAGAGATTGCAGAGGAAGGGATTACTGGTACAAGAGAGTAAACAGGCCATAATGGGTATACCCAGGGGTAGGCAACCTTGCCTCATTTTTATGACTTGTGGACTTCAACTCCCAGATTTCTTCAGCTAACAATGCTTGTTTTTTCCCCGACCGCCTAGAACGTAGAGATTGCAGAGGAAGGGATTACCGGTACAAGAGAGTAAACGGGCCATAATGGGTATACCTATTAAAAGGAATGCATTAGTCCCAGGGAATTCTGGGAGTTGAAGTCCACCAGTCTTAAAGGTGGCCAAGTTTGGAGACCCCTACTTTAGGTAGTGCTGGGGGGCCACACACAAACTTCTCGCTCCCCTCCCTAGCCCTGCAATTTCCCTCGATGGAATCACACAGTGCTGCGTTGTAACCCCTCAACACCTTTTATTTGCGAGGCTGGTACCCCCTGCTCCTTCTCGGCAGCTTCGCTGGCATCCTCCCCCCCCCCCCCACGTTGCAGGTGGAAATCTGGCTTAGAATAATGTTGAAGTGGAGCAGAAAAAGAAATGGGGGGGGGGTAACAGACGCCGGGAGGGCAGCCAGCTGAGGGGCAGAGGCTCAAGGCCACAGCAGAGGGGGCAGAGGCCGGGTGGGGGAGCCGCCAAGGGCCGCCTGCCCTTCTCCCCCCAGCCCCCATCCAGCTGAAGGCTGGTTCAGTTCCAGACTTTCAGGAAGCTGTCCCAGGAGCCGGTGGCTACAGCCATGCCGTCGTCCGTCACGCCCAGGCAGCTGACCCGGTTGTCGTGGCCAGCGAGGACCCCTGGAAGGAGAGAGAATTGCTAGCAATGGAGAAGCGCCCGGAGAAATGGTCTCGGGGGGGGGCACAGAGCACCCCAAGGCTTCTCCTGTCGGTCAGTCCAGAGGGAGAGGGACCTCTCCAAACCCCAAGAGAACTCTCCCCTCGCCTGCTTCCCCAACGGGCCCAGCCAGACACCTCCTCCCCCCTCCCCGCAATGGAGTTTCTCTTTCGGAACGCTGGCCTGGGATAGGGGACTCCAGGTGCCCAAATGGGCGGGTCACCCAATCTGCGTACGGCCAAGATGCAGAGGCAGCAAAGGACGGCCACGGCTACAGCTTAGGGCAGAATTTAGTCCACTTCGTGGGACGATCGGGTTGGCCTGTGGTGGAAAGCCGTCTGGATTCCCAGGAAGGAGGGGTGGCTTTCCCGAGGGCAAAGAGGCAGCTGAGCTCGGAGTGTGCTAAGCAGGAAGAGGGTCAAGAGGGCCCTTCCCTGGCAGCTCACAGTCAGTCTGTGTGTAATTCAGGAGTACGCAACCTTGATTCTTTTATGACTTGTGGACTTGGCTCAGGAATTCTGGGAGTTGAAGTCCACGAGTCATAAAACAGCCAAGGTTGCCTACCCCTGGTATAGTTACTGCAGGCAGTTGCTTCAATCTGCCAAGATTTGTCTACAGGCAAACAACAATAACCAGCACTGGGGATGTTTTCTAGTTGGGATAAGAGAGCAGCAAGGACCCCCCCCCCAATCCTTTGCTTCCTCCTCCTCCTCACAGCCCCCACTCCTAGCAGTGGTGGGGCTCCCTACGTGGGTCACCAAGCGGCTACAAGGGACCGACCAAGCTCAAGAGAGCACCAGGGATCCCTCAAACAACGAGAAAGAAGCTACTCAAAAAACTCCACAGGGGGGTTCTTGGGGCCTGGCAAGCCACAGTTCAAAAACATGGCAGACTATGGTCTGATCTGGTTTGCGAGGCCGAGGTGGAGGGAGGATGACCTTCTGCTGGCCACTCACCTGCCCGGTCGCCCTTCATGGAGTCCCAAATGTTGCAGTTGAAGTCATCGTAGCCGGCCAGCAGGAGGCGCCCGCTGCGGGAGAAGGCCACCGAGGTGATGCCGCAGATGATGTTGTCGTGCGAGTACAGCATCAGCTCCTGGTCGGCACGTAGGTCGAAGAGGCGACAGGTGGCATCATCGGAACCCGTGGTGAAGGCATTCCCGTTGGGGAAGAACTGGGTGAGAAAGGAAGAGGGGAGACCGCTAAGGAGAGAGTGCTAGGGGGTTCTGGGAATTGAAGTCCGCCCACCTTAAAATGGCCATCGCAGAGCAATCGTCCCAGCTGAGATCAAGTGGGGAATTAGCACAGACTCGTTAACGTAAACACGAGTGAGGACAAAGTCTGCCCTCCCCCTCCAGACTCATCTAGTCTTTCCCAGAGGCAAACTGCCAGCTGGGAGATTCCTGTACTACAGGCACAGAACAACAAAGTAGCTACTTTGAACTCTACATTTGTATGTCTGGTTGTTTGTGCCTAACGGTGGCCAAGGTTGAGAAGCTCTGGCCCAGATGCTTGCCACGAGACAGCATCTCAAACAGGGTCTTCCGAGTCTGGTCTCCTACAAACCCTCCATCCTTCTCTCTCTCACACACACACACACTCAGGTCAAGCTCTGCACTCACACAGACAGCGTTGATGTCGGATTCGTGTCCTGTGAAGGTCTGCCGGCACATGCTGTCTCGGATGTCCCACAGCTTGACCGAAGCATCGCAAGCGCCCGAGACGAAGGAGCGCATGTCGGGGGACAGTGAGAGGGACATGACGTCCCCGCTGTGGCCTGTGAAGGTGGTGGTCTGTTGGCCCGTCTCGATGTCCCACAGGGCACTGGCAAGGAGGAAAGGTAGGCAGGCAGTCAGGCACGACCCCCACGTGGCTTCAGCACTCCAGGTTTGACCACGGGGTTAATACACCGTGCCAAGATGGACATGGGATGGTCAGACGGCCTTAGAGAACTTGTTCTGACTGAATCGGAGTGAAATCACTTTGGGACACTGTCCTGCACCGCCTGACTTTACGGTGTCCTTTTGTAGACTTTTCTTAATTCTAACGCACTGGGATGATCGTGGCTCAGCAGAGGTAGTCCTGGACTTATGACTAGAATTGAGCTCAAACTTTCCACCGCTAAGCAAGACAGTTGCTAAGTTCAGCCCCGTTTTATGAGCTTTCTCGCCATGGCTGTCAAGTGAATCACTTAAGTTGTTACGTTGTTAAGTGAACCTGGCTTCCCCCTTGACTTTGCTTGTCAGAAAGGGGATCACTGGGACACTGTGACCGTCATAAATATGAGCCAGTCACCAAATAATTGTCTGGATTTTGATCGCGTGACCATGAGGACATTGCCATGTGAAAAACGGTTGTAAGTCACATTTTGTCAACAGCGCTTAGACTTATATACCGTTTTACAGCCCTCTCTAAGTGGTTTGCAGAGTCAGCATATTGTCCCTCCCCAACAATCTGGATCCTCATTTTATCGACCTCGGAAGGACGGAAGGACGAGTCGACCTTGAGCCGGTGAGACTCAAAACTGCCGAACTGCCACCCCTGTAACTCTGAACGGTCAATGAACAAAACGTTGTGGGTCAAGGACTACTTGTTATCCACTCCTGGGTGGGTCTCAGCCACAATGACGGCTCCAAAATCTGTCTAGCAAGTGAGTCACTGATCTATCACAATACACACACACACACCCAGCCCTTGGCTTGGCATCCACTTGGCTCAAAGTCCTGCCACTCACCAAGTGGTGTCTCCCGAACTGGTGATGATCTGGTTATCGGTCAGGAACCGGCAGCAGGAGAGGTACCCTGGCGGAGGAGAGGACGGTCAGTCGGCCAGCTGGGTGAGGGGCACAGAGGAGGCCCGACCCCCTCCCCAGGGGAAAAGCGAATCTGTTCCCTCACCCGTGTGTCCTGGTAGCTCCCGACTGACCCGGACGTTCCCTTCGCGGGTTTTGAGGCTATAGATGGAGCAAATGTTGTCCAGACCTCCGCAGGCCACGTAGTTCCCGGAGGGCGCGTAGGCGCAGGTCATCACCCAGGATGACCGCAGCGGAATGGCGTGCACCTGGAAGGAGAGGGGCATTCAGCGGGGTGTGGCCCCGGGGCCCTAAGCCCTGCATGGACCGTCTCCAGGTGCCTCCCCGGTTGCCTTCGGCCTCACCTTGTTAGTGGTGTAGCTGTCCCAGATGATCAGCTTGCCGTCTTGAGAGGCACTAACCAAAAGTCTGGAGCGACAAGGAAGGAAACGGGGCTCAGAGCCTCGGTCGTTCGGGGGCAGGGATGGGGACCCCTCCCCAAGGACGTCTCCAACTCTCCCATCCCTCTTTACTGAGGGGGAGGGGTTCAGCCCCCTTGCCGGCAGCCCCATCCTGGCCCTCACCTGGAGTCCGTCCCCCAATGCATGGCGTAGATCTTGGCCAGGTGGCCGCGCAGCGTCCGCCTCGTTCGCATCTGGATCCGGCCCACCGGGTCGAGGCCAGCGGTGATCTTGAGTGGAGGGAGAGAGGGGTCAGTGGTGGGGGGGCCAAGGGGGTCCCAGAGGCCACCTCCTCCCCCCTCGCTGACCCCACCTGCCTCACCTGGGTCAGCGTGGAATCGCCACATGCTTTCCTGGCGTCCTGCAGGAGAGGAGGAGAAAGAGGAGGCTCACGCCGGCTTAATGGGCAGCCCAGATGCCCCTCAGCAGCTTCGCCCATCCCACCAGGAAGTGCCCACTCCCCCCAGTCCCAACAGCCCAACTTCATCCCCCTTCCTGGGGAAGTCGGAGCGTTGGATCCTCCAGCATCCCCTTTGCCAGCAGGATGATGCCGTGAAGGCCAACTTCTACTTTCTCAAGATGTATTTTGCCGCCTCGCTGAGGACTAGAACCTTGTTGCAGCCCCACTCCTCCTCCAAGTAACTCACCCGGATCTGGTTACGCAGCTGCTCTGCTTCCTGCTTCAACTGCTCCAGTTCACTCATGGTGGCTGGGGGGGTTGGGGGGCCAGGGGCTTGGCCAGCAGCCCCTTTCACTTAGCCACGATCCTGCCTGGGGGAAAAAGAGAGAGAGAGAGAGAATCATAGGAAATTATTAACTGTGATTTTTAAGGAAGAATATCTCGCATTTTCACCAAACAGCATTTTGGTCAAATAAACGGCACCATCGAACGGCAGCTAAGAATTCACACACAATCGCAGTACGTCCAGTCCTCAACTTACAATAACTCGTTTAGTGACCATTCGATGTTACAACGGCACTGAAAAAAGTGACTTGTGACATTTTTCAGGGTTACGACCTTTGCAGCATCCCCACGATGGTGCGGTCAAAATTCAGATGCTTGCTTTATGACCGTCGCAGCGTCCCGGAGAGGGGTGTGTGTCACGTGGTCCTCTTTCGTGACCTTCTGACAAGCAAAGTTCAACGGGGGAAGCCACACTCACTTAACAACCGGGTTACTAACTTAACAACTGCAGCGGTTCGCTTAGCGACCCAGGCAGGAAAGGCCGTAAAATGGGGCCCAACTCACTTAACAAACGCCAACAACAGAAACGTTGGGCTCAGCTGAGGTTGTAAGTCAAGGATAACATCCACGCGGCCGCCCAAAGTGCCTGCTGGATTAAAAATATTTTTTCCAGGTTAAAAAATAATAATAATAAAATAGATTTAAAATAAAAATATTTTTCCACTTGCAAAGAGAGGAAGACCCCCAAAAAAATGGCGCCCGAAAAAATGGATGCAGCCACCGTTTGCCACTGTGCCTTGCGTCTCCCCTCTGTTTGTCCCTGGTCCGTAAGGCCAGCCGGACGCCTGACTCCCTTTTAGGGGGCAAAGGGACCGGCTGACCGTGTGGGGGACAAGATCCAGGCGCTGCTGCCTTGGAAGGGGGTGGATTTTGAATGTCTGCGGATCCACTCAAGGCCTGACCCTTTGCCACTGCGGGAATCTCACCGTCCCGTGCCTGACCCCACTCGAAGGACCCCTAAAAAGGGGGGTTTGAGGGATTACTCAGCCCCCCTCGTTGCAACCCAGGCCCCCCCAAATCCCCAAGCCATGGGTGGCGGCGGTGGGGTGGAGAAGGAAGGCCAGTCTGGAAATTGAAAGTAGCTCCACTCACCAGTTGCAACCCCAAACACCTACAGGTGCAAAAGGAGGGGGGAAGGCGCACACACACACACACACACACACACAAAAGTGGGAAGGGTCCCACTTAGAAACACCAAGATAACCGTCCCCATCTTTCCTCAATGCCCCTCACCCAAATCCATTGCAGGAATGCATCTCGACCCACCACTCAGCACGAGAGGAGTCGCTTTCCTAGACACACACCCCCATGGTAGGACCCCCTCCCCAATTCCCATGACCGCTTCTGAATGGAAACAAGGCGGCGGGGGGGGGGGAAGAAACTCAGAACAGCTGGATTTTCACTTCCTGGCAATGCCGCTGCGGTTGCAGCCTTTGGCAAATAAGGGTGGGGTCGCCCCCTATGGACACCACCCCCCCCCAGCCACTCCAGAGAAGCCAAAAAGACAAGGTTGCTAAGGCGACAGGCCACTCTCTGTCTCTCTCACACACACACACACACTGCTCTATGCTCCGGGAGGCGGTTGCCTGGGCAACGGGATGAGAAAGCCGGGGCGAGGGATGGATCCGGCCTGCTCCGAGGGAGGAAGTGGGAAGGGAAGGCAGCCAAGGGCGGCTTCCTCTGGCGAGGGGGCTGCTCCTTCCTGGGGGGGGGGGCAAGGAAAGAGCTCGGCCTTCGCTCCAGCCCAGAAAGCCTAGAGCAGCCTTAAAAAAAACCTGCATGGGGAACAGGCCAAGCTGGGGCTTCCCGGCTCCCAGTTGCCAGCCCCCCCCCCAAGCAAGCAAGCGGGTGGGGGGGCACCGGGTGGGTGGGGGGGGAGGCAGAGCTGAAGCACAGAAGGGGAAGCCCCGGGTGCCACCTTCCCGAAATGGGCATCTTTGCCCTGGGCAGGGAATGGACTCCTGGCATTTCATTAAATATTTCCCTTTTAATTAACTTTTAAATTTGTAATTTGATATTTTTGTATTTTTTATCCGGTTGTTAGCCGCCCTGAGTCCGCAAGGAGAAGGGCGGGATATAAATTGAAAAATAAATAAATAAATAAATAAATAAATAAATTTCTGCAAGATGCCAGACACCCCCCCCTTGTCCATTAGAAATGGAAGGCCATTGGGAGGCCGGAGTGGCTGCAGGGAGGGAGGCAGGAGGATCAGAGTCTCTCCCCCCCACACACACACATACACACCCCGACCTCCAATTCATCCCAGATCACAGGCTCCCCCTGTCCCTCCCCAGTCCGAAGCTGCAGGCCGCTCTGATCCTCCGCTGTGGGAACCTGGAAGCCTTCCTGGGGCGCGGCAAGGGGGGGGCCCAGGGCTGGCAAGAGACTCGACAGACGGGAGCCCAGCGGGATGGAGGCCTCAGCCTCCCCCTGCTGTAAACCTGCCTGGCTGACAGATTCACAACAGGGGGAAACCCTGTGTTTATTTAGAATAGAACATAAAGCTGGGGGAGGACCCGTGGAGGTCTTCTAGTCCAGCCCCCTGCTCAAGCAGGAGATCCAATACAATTCCGGATAAACGGATGTCCAATCTCTTCTTGAAAACCTCCACAACTTCTGGAGGCAAATGAAATTGTTCTAATTGTCAGGAAATTCCTCCTAATTTCCAAGTTGCTTCTCTCCTTGGTTAGTTCCCATCCGTTGTTTCTCGTCCTGCCTTCGGGTGCTTTGGAAAATAGGTTGACCCCCAACTCTTCTTTGGGGCAGCCCCTCGAATGCTGGAAGACTGCTATCCTGTCATCCCTCCTCCTTCTTTTCATTAAAGTAGACAAACCCAAATCCTGCAGCCGTTCTTCTTCTTCCGTTCTTCTTCTTCTTCTTCTTCTTTCTTCTTTCTTCTTCTTCTTCTTCTTCTTCTTCCTCTTCTTCCTCTTCCTCTTCTTCCTCCTCTTCTTCCTCCTCCTCCTTCTTCTTCGTAGGTTTTAGCCTCCAGGCCTTTAATCACCTTAGTTGTTCTTCTCTGCATTTTTCCCCATCTTTTTTGTAATGTGTTGACCAAAACTGCATGCTGTATTCCAGGGGTGGCCTTACCAAGGTTTTATAAAGCGGTATATTATGAAATATAAAATACTTTATTTGCACTGCCTTCTCCACGTGTTGGAGCAGAGCACCCCAAATTTCCAGCCAAACCCCACCGGCAGGCAGGGAGATACCCAAGCAACTCACTGGGAACCCCACAGAGACCCCCAGCTGCCCCCAGAGCGTCTCTCCTCAACCCACACTAATAATCCAACTTTATACATATTTTCCTTTCCTGGTTCATCAGCAGCACAACACCACACTCGTGCCTTTACAGGTAGTCCTCGACTTACGACAGCTGAACCCAAAGTTTCCGTTGCTAAGCGAGACATTTGTTAAGAGAAACACTGAAGTTGTTCAGTTAGTGACACGGTTGTTAAACGGCTTCCCCCGTTGACTCTGCTTGTCAGAAGGTTGCAAAAGGGGATCACACGACTCCAGGATACGGAGACCGTCATAAATATGAGTCAGCTGCCGAGTATCTGAATTTTGATCACGTGACCACAGGGATGTGCCAACGGTCGTAAGTGTGAAAAACGGTCGCAACTCACTTTTTCCACTGCCGTTGGAACTTCAAACAAGTCACTAAATGAACTTGAGGACCACCTGCATTCTAGAGCAGGGGTCTGCAACCTTGACCGCTTTAAGACTCGTGGACTTCAGCTCCCAGAATTCCTCGGCCAGCTATGCTGGCTGAGGAATTCTGGGAGCTGAAGTCCACGAGTCTTAAAGCGGTCAAGGTTGCAGACCCCTGTTCTAGAGCAGCGTTTCTCAACCTCGGCCCCTTTAAGACGGCTGGGGAATTCTGGGAGTTGAAGTCCACGTATCTGAAAGCAGCCGAGGTTGAGAAACACCATCCGAGGAGGAACAAGGAGGCGGAAAAAACTGCGCACAGGAAGTTAAAAAGCAGCGGGGCTGTGGCAGGGACAAGGCTACCCTTCAACCGGAAACCAACAACACCAGAGTCTCCATCGGGGACCCCTACTCAGGGGGAGGGACGCCCGGTGCCCCCCGGGCAACTTTTCACAGTTGGCATTTCCCCTTTCATTCTCACTCCCCCTGCCCAAGTCCCAGGGCAGGCTGACTCTTCTCAAAACTCTTGTCCGACTTTGGGGCTCCACCCTCCAAGCTCAGGGAGGGGGGGTCTTTTCCGCACAGCAGAGACCCTCAGAGTTGGGAGTGCGGTAGACCCCCCTTCTGCAGCGTTGCATCAACTCCAAGCACCCCCCCCATTCCGGGGGTCAACAAGTGGTGGGCATCTCACCCGGCGCCAGGCTGTAGCCCACCACCCACTTTCCTGCAAGGTGTCCTGCCACGGTTGGGGTCCCCACCGAAGGAGGTTCAGGCTGCCTAGTCAGTGCGACCCCGGGGTCCCTGGGAGAGCTGCTTTGCCCCCCCCCTCCCGCCCTCCCTTCCTTCCGCTGGTGGAGGGGCTGAGATGCATCGCAGTGGGTGTGTTTGCCAGCCCAAGAGGAAGTGCAAGAACTGGTGCAAGGCTGGCGGAGGGGGGGAGGCAGGCAGGGGGGGGGCTCTTGGGCCTCCTTCGGGTCCGAACTCTGCAAAAGTCACGACGGCACAAAACCCCACCGCAACTGCAAAAAGGCAACGCAACACAGTCTCTCTCTCTCTCCACCCCCCCCGCCGCGGGCAAGATGCCATTTGAAGGCAGAGCCCTGGGGCGCCCCGGGGGGAAAGCGCCGTCTCTCTCGGGGGGCTCATTTGCCCGCTAATGACAGCCTCCAGCCGGGCTCGTGAGCCCCGAGGGTGCCTCGACTGCTCTTTCGGGGAGGGGGCGCCCACCTGCCAGCCCGGCCGTCTCCACCTCCGCCCTGCCTGCTCCCCACCCCCCCCGCCCCAAGGAGCCCCTCCCAAAGCGCCAGGGGTGGGGGGTTGGGGGATACAGGAGGAAGCCCAGTTTCTTTC